ATATATACAATATATCCATCCATCTTCCAATTCTTTCAACACAGGGCCACAGTAATACATAATATATATAAAACATATTCAGCTGTGAGATTTAATAACAGGCCACGTTTCACTGTGCGGTTTTGATCTGTTCTGTCTTTGATCTCCGTCTTCATCACCTATTATATTCATGCTTGCGCCCCTAAAACAACTTAACATCTTTTAGGGACCCCCGACCTTTAAAACATTTATGCTCAAAAGAGTCTTGCCAGAGTCCTAAAACAATTAATACATTGACTCTAGACCTCCGCCATAAATAGTTCAAACCCACCTGATGTAGAAAGATGTTTTTTTTTTGTTAAAAGTTTTTAGCCTATCAGCGGTGAGAGTCTCGTAGCCTGTACCTCCCAGCTCCCCCATGCCCCCCCCCCCCCCCGAGGTCGCCGAATATCCTCACGTGACCCTAACTATTTACTCCCCGTGGTGCTTTTTTTTTGCCGTACTGGTGACACGTACTGGTGACACGTACTGGTACACCCCTGTCGCGTTATCAACTACCCATGAGGCCATCCTGAGTGCACCAGAGGGCAGATTGCATGGCCATGGAGAATGTGGCATGACAACGGCATGGCAACTTCCTGTAAGAGCTGGAGTGCAACCTGGCAAACTAACATTACGAAGACGCCCTTCGAAGGAAATAAACATCATTAAAATCACTGATAAATGACTATGCGGCCCTGCTGATGTATGAAGGAACAAACATTATTTTATTTTTTTTTGTCATTTGTCATTTTTATATTTCCATTAGTCTTGAATTAATGATGTTTTATTTCCTTAATCACATTTTTAATGCTTTCGGTAAAGCGCTTAAGCGTAATCAATTTAATACACTCAGTGTAAGAAATAAGCAGTGCAATGCATGTGATTATATTCCGTTTTTAAAATAAAAGCAAGCATCTGTAGTGCAGGGCTATTTGTAAATCCAGGTCAGGAGTGTTTACAAAGTAGAATAATGTTCAGACACCTGTAACCGTTGGCAACACGCCATGTGTCGGATGCTGGTATAAGCAGTATGGTTTCTAATCGGAAAGACTTCCTTTGATTATGAGGGGTGGAGCAGGGTCCCCCCCCCCCACTCCATAACGGAAATCAGGTTTGTGGCATCTTTACTTTACTGGCATCTGTCATCTGATTATTGTTTTCATTTCCCCTCCCTTCCCCTCCCCCCCAGCCATCCGCGGTTTCTCTCCACAGCACAAGATCAGCAGTTTTGAGGAGGCCAAGGGACTGGACCGCATCAACGAGCGCATGCCCCCACGCAGGGACGCCGTCAACAACGTGGGCCACTCCATGGGGAAGATGAACATGGCCGAGTCCAACGGCACGGACGATAACAGCAATATCCAGTGATCCACCCCCACCCCCAAACCGCCTGCTGTTAGGGACAGAGCTTCAAAAACACTATTTCAGGCCTCAGATGTTTCGAACAAAGAAAGAAATAAAACGACAAACCACAAATGACAAAATACAAAGCATCTACATCAGGAGGCGTAAACTTTTTGCTTGATTTTTTTTTTCCTCTTAGACTCCAGTAAGGCCACAAGTTTGCTGACCTACACATGCAGTTTCATCTTGACACCAGAATGTTAGAGAGAAACTGATGTGGTGAAGATTCCATATTCCTTGGGGGGGGGGCTGATACAATGGGCTGGAGTAGGGGGTGTTTGGGGTAAAGGAAGTGCGACCATTATTATATAGTCAGAGGCCTGCCTGCTGTATGTACACTTACTACGGCTGAGAAAGATGTTGGGTGTTGGGGTCGACTTATTTAAGCTCTTCTACGTTAAAGTTTGCATATAGATATATGTAGCTATGTGTGTATAAATATATATATTTGTTATATATAGATATACATATATACACATATATATGCATATATACATATAAAAATTTTGATTAAAGGCTGTATTCATAAACATAAGATTATCTTGCTACTGAACATGTTTTGCTACTAGTATTCAAATGAAACTGAGATAGGTGTTATTTATAAATAAAAGGACATTTTAAAATGTGTAAAATTTCAGGCTATTTGCATTACACCCGAGAGTCCTCGTTTAATGTATTGTTTATGTCCCTTTCGTTGCGTTTCGTTTCATTCCGCCGGCATCAGGAACCCCCCCCCCCCGGTGTGGTTTTGGCTGACGTGACTCTGCTGTCACAGTCACCCTCACGCGTTCCTCGCCTGCCAGTAAATGGAGAGGAAACTAAACTCGGATGTGTATTTAGACAGGACTTACCATTGCCGTAACAGTAATAGAGAAACCCGCTACAATAATTTGTACAGCATCTATAGAACGCATCTGTGCATGCGGTCAGATTCCTTATCGACACGTGAGACTCTATTTGTGCTGTGTTTTAATATAGTAGGTCTGAATCATTTCAATTATATTTGTAAAATTCTATTTTATTATTTTATATATAGATACATATCTATATATCATTTTTATTTGTTTATTTCTAGTTTATTTTTGATGATTTTGCATTATAGTTTGATTTTATTTTTGTTTAATTTTCTCCATTTTGGCTGTACAGGCAGTTATGCTCTTTTTAAGGTGTGAAGCCTTGTGTTTTAACTGTTATATTTATGTACAGAAGTTGTTCAATAGTGTGAATGAATATATTATTCAGTGATAAGCAACATTCAGGCTGCCAAAGCATGATCGCATGGTTTATTCAAATGTAAAACAAATCAGACACTAATCCCGTGTCTCACTTTTATTAATTCTTAATAATGCTCTTATTCGTATTAAATTAAGCTTACTGTTAATTTTTCTTTCACTATTTTCTGATCCTCGTTTGGTCTCAATGTGATTTTCTTTAAGAAATGAATTTCATGGGATTTACCTTGTGATAATTTTTCTTGTATTTTTCTCTGGAACTAAGTTTTCACATATGACTTCCTACACAACAGATACATTGTAAGCATGCCCTATGGGACTGATCTCACTTTTTTTACTCTTGAATAAAATATGCATGAGTCATTGATTCTGGTTCGGTTTATCCTCTGTGCTCACAGACATGGCTGCTTCAACATGGCCGTCCATTAGTCTTGTTTCTTCGTTTTCCGTCGCCTCTCAATCCCAAAATGCCATTTTTCTAATGAAAGTTCCCAGATATGTGTTTGTTATTCATACATGTCCCACACACCTGTCTGATTAAAAAGAAAGACATTGTTAGAAAGTCTTTTTGAACTTTTATTTGTCTGTCTAGGATTTTTACTAAAAGAAGACATTTATTCACTTAATGTTTATTTTCAGAAAGCAGAGGTGTTGAGTTGAGTTACTGAGTATAATTTGCATCGTTGTGTTGAACAGACACAAATGGGGGGTTCAGCTCAACACAGACATTGACCTTGTTTGCGAGTGGGGCTCAGAAATATTGCAATAAGACTTTGTTGCAATATGTGGGGTCCTGGAATGGAGATGAACCTTTGAAACTGGCAATTGTCGGTTATGAACCTGGGAAACTGGCAATGGTGGGTTATGAACCTGGGAAACTGACGATGGTCGGTTAAGAACCTGGGAAACTGGCAATGGTGGGTTATGAACCTGGGAAACTGACGATGGTGGGTTATGAACCTGGGAAACTGACGATGGTGGGTTATGAACCTGGGAAACTGACGATAGTCGGTTAAGAAATCCATTTCCTGTAGTCTCAGATATGACCGGACTCCTGTTTTCACCCCCAATGGATGTAGTCCACCTGCTATAAACCCAAATAGCTTCAGGGGTTAGTGCCGTTTCTCTGCCCTGCTGATGATTCCGCTCTTTTGTCGGCGATTACATACAGTACGACAGGGTGCCCCAATTCGGATCCTGGAAGGCAAGTTTTCAACACAGTTTGCGGTCTGTATTTTTTTCAATTTATATAATAATGACAACAACAGCAATTTATTGATCCCTATGGTGAACTAAATGGTTTTCATGAAGAAAATGTAATGCTAAGCCCACCTTTACCAGTAGGGGGTGTGTGACTGTGGGTTAGGACTCTGTGATCAGAAGGTCACCCATTCCAATCCTGTAGTCGGCAGAGTTCTGCCACTGTTGTGTCCTTGAACAAGGCACTTAACCCCACTGCGCTGTCCTGTGACCCCTAAACCTGCCCTCACCTACATGTGTGTCTCACCGAAAGAGAGATGGGACATGAAAACCACAGGGATGAATGAGGCATTATTATCAGTTGGGTCAACCTAGGATTACAGAAAGGAAGCCCAGGAAGCTCAGGATACAAGGGAGGTGGAACGTCGTGGTCCGGAGGGCAGTCTACACAATGTGCCAGTCAAACACCAATCTGCCTGATCCCATGTTTGAGGGAACTGGAGGACATGGAGGACATACTCAGAAACACATCCTGTAGACATGAGCCAGCAAACTCTACACGCACAGAGTAGCTGTGAGTCTCTAATCCCCAATCCTGCAGGAATGTGGCAAAGAGGCCACCCACTGTGCCACCCACTGTGCCACCCACTGTGCCACCCAAAGGCATAACTTTGGGTTGAGCATTAATGGGGGGGGGGGGCGGTTGAGGTCCCCATCCACCCTTTTAAGGGAGTCCAGGCGGGTGAATTAGCTATCCCATCCCCCCAGAATTTACACCCATGGTGCCACCCACTCTACCACCAGAGTTGGGTAATTCAGGTCCAGTGAATAAAAGTCCAGATTGGGATTCTGTTTCAACCAACCAGTTGAGTACTCTGTGACTGTGACCCTTTATGCTCAACTGACTGGTTGAAACAAAATCTAATAATAATAAATGGAAAAGTGGTAAAACCAGTGGTGTGCAAAAACCTTTGAGTGCTCATGTACAGCAGGCCGACTCCCCCCTCCCCACTGCGTTTCCCCATTTCAATTCCACTGAATTCTATTCCGCTGCGTTTTTTTCTTAAGTGTCTTTTAATGCACCAAGGATACACTGGCCGCAGAACATGTGCCAAATGTACCCGGAAAATGAAACTAAAAGACTGTCCTGTGTGAGTGACACACCCTCCCTCCAGTCTGTCTCTGCAGCCCCAAAGGCATACAGAACCTGTATCTCCCCATTTGTTTTGCCGCTCTGAAGGCACATTTCGGAACGTATCTGGATTGTTCTTGGGGCTCAGGTGGTGTCGTCACCGTCTCTCGGAAGAAAATAAACAGGCTTTTTTAAAACAAGGTAAGTTTACGATGCAAATATGTGATTTTATTACTGTGATTGTGTTTGGGTTACGTGAATATGCCATACAGATGTTATTTATGTTTTCTGTCAAATTATGTCATAATTATTAACTATGTTACACTGTCACCACAATAATATGCTTGTTCATTGTCACATAACTTTTTAAAACATTGGCTTTAATCATATAGACATCCCTTTCTATAGAAACTAATGTTATGCTGTATAATATGCAAGCCCAGATTATTGTGTAATAATTCATATTTTGTTAAAGAATAACAATTTCTGAATAACTTAGGGGAAGTAATGGTCAGGACTTCATACAAAAACAGAAGTGTCTTCCGAAAAATTCCACACAAAGAATAGGTATAGAGGTTACTAGTTCCACCTTAACAACCAGCCATTTATTCCTTCTCGTAACCACAGAATGCTATCAATCCATGGGAAGGTCGTTTTCTCAAAAGCAATGTAACACCAGTTTAACACGGACACATTATAAGTTCAGATAATCATGTCTAGTGTAACATTTTTCAGTTGTCACTGTCATTCTATTTGTTCATTTAATCATTTGCAATTTTAAGATTAAAATCTATATCTATTGATATTAGGTCAAGCGCCTGAAAGTGCCTTTGTTGTGTGATTTTTTTACCTGATCGCACAGAGGAGCATATCTCTGCTAACTGCCATATCTGCGTTTCAGTGGCCAAATGAGTCACCTCACCCCCATCTCCTGCATGCTCTCATTTCAGAACTACGACTTCATACAGAGCTTAGTAATATACTCTGAAATGTGAAGCTCTTCAAATGCTCATTTCTTGTGGATCCAGGACGGGAGCTACATTTGTTCAGGCCTGCCTGAACGCATCAAAAGTAAAGGCACATCGTAAATCTCCGGATTCTTCAAAATCTCAGTTCTTCATGCAATTACGTTAGTGCTGTGCCAAGTTAAACTTGGCAGTAGTATATACTATATGGACAAAAGTACTGGGACACCAGCCTGTCCAATATCTCACTCTGAATCAAAGGGTATTAAGATGAAGTTGCCTAACCCTTAGTTCCTATAAGAGTACAGGATGTACTCCTCTGGGATTGTTTTCCATTAGATGCTGGAACATTGCTGGTGGGATTTGCTGCCATTCCCTCTCTGTGAGCTTGTCTGGCCCCCACCTTGCAGCTGAACTTGCTCCCAGATGTTTCCACTTGACAGTCAGTTCACTTGCAGTTGATCAGGGCAGCAGGACACAAATGTGGAGAACCGACTTGTTGGAAAGGTGTCCAGTGTTGACCAATGGCGGTGCCAGGTTGACTAACCTCTTCTGCTTGACCACCCTTCCTGCTGCCATTGTGTAATGCCGCAGATTGCCTGGCCGTGTCCTTAATTATACACCTGTATGTCAGCAATGGGAGTGGCTTGCTGTAATTACTGTGGGTGTTGCAACATTTTTGCTCATTTTGTGTATATTTAGGTCCTCAATCTTCAAGATTCTGGTCAGTGCGGATTTATTCTACAGCTAAGCCATGGCCATTGTATTTTAACTGTGATATGTTTGTTACAGATAAGAGGAGATAAGAGTCCTTTGCCAGCCCAAAGGGAGAATGTCCTTCATCTGTGTAGCTGGAATTAGTGCAGCAGTGCTTCTGGCTGCTTTGCTATACTTTGGAGAGGACAGTGTCTACAAACAGGCCACTATGTTAGGCTTCGGCCTGTCCCTGGGGGCTACACTCACTCAGCTGTGTCTTTTTGCAGAAGAGTGGCTTCATCATTCAGCTTCAAGGTGAGCTGGAGTGTGTACATTTGAGAGATTGTTATTTCCATTGAGAATAATATTTTAGTGTGGGAGTCGATCGTGCATGCCATTCATGAATCCAGTATAGTGCACAGAACAGGTTCAACTGGTAATTCTCTAAATACATTCTTTTGCAAAAAATAATAATACACTTAAGTATTTCAACACTTTGTTCAAGACTGTTATCCATCCATCAACCGTACCTGTTTATCCAGCACATTGTACAGTGAGCAGATTGTAGGATATAAGATGTCGAAAGGTGGACATTTGGGGTCTAGAAAGTAAATATCCAGACCAAAATTTTGTTTCAACCCACCAGCTGAGTTACTCTGTGACTGTGACTCTGCATACTCAACTGGTTGGTTGAAACAAGATCTTGGTTTGGATTTTTACTTTCTGGACCTGAAATACCCACCTCTGAAGATGTCAGGACATTAGTGACACATGCCGTAGGGAATTTAGAAACAAAAATTCACCTAAACAACAGTGGGATGAAGCAAAATAAAAACCGGTAAGACCATGCAGATCTCAGAGGACACATCATTGTTAGTATTAGTCACGTAAAACACAACTGTAAAACGGGTTATGTCTGCATGACAGCTGGAGGCCCAGAAAATCATTATTAAATGGTAGCAAGTACTGTACGTGCCATTTTCATGTTTGGTGGTTGTAGATTTATTAAACAAATAAGATGAAATGTGTTCAAAAAGTCTTGCGCGCATGAATATTATGAATACACACATTGTATCCACTTCAGAAATGAAGGGTTAATGAAAAAGGATTTAAACCTGTCTTAGAAATTTATGTCAAAACAGTGAGAGGCTTTCCAAAACTTCAGGAACAGAAATTGCAGCCAAATGTTTTACTATTGATGTTACTACTATCTGATCATATACAATCCCTTTTTACAGAACCTAATGTGATGCCATATAATATGCTAGCCCACAGTATTGTGTGATAATTCATATTTTGTTAAAGATAAACAATTGCAGAATAACTTGGGGGGATTAATGGTCAGGACTTCATGCAAAAACCACTTCAGTCACAAATGCAACTTCATGCCTGGGTGCAAACTGAAGGTTGGATCAATCGGTTTGGACACATGTGACAAGCAGGTATAGACAATAAATGGATAAATGGATGGTGAGTGAGTGAGTGAGTGAGTGAGTGAAAGATAAACCCATGAGCAGGTCACTAAGGGATGCCACCTTATCTGCAGGTACAACGGCAGCCTTTCCAAAATGTGCAAAGTCTTCTTCAACTATGCCCCCTTGAGTGCCCTGCTGTTTTTCGCATTGACAGCTGGATGTGCCCAGTTTGAAGCGTGTCAGTGGATCAGTATGGCGATGGCCTCCATGTTTTTCGTCCTGCTTAAATTATGTGACGTACTGGTAAGCGCTCTCACAGCCTGGGCTATCAACATTATCTATACCAGTGTTTCCCAATCTGGTCCTCAGGGACCCGCAGACAATACACATTTTTGCTCCCTCCCAGCTCCCGGAGCAAAAACATGGACTGTCATGGCATGGGGCTGGGAGGGAGCAATAATGTGTACTGTCATGTGGACTGTCTGGCAGGGGGCTGGGAGGGAGCAAAAATGCGGACCGTCATGTGGACTGTCTGGCAGGGGGCAAAAACCTGCACTGCCTCTAGGTCCCTGAGGACTGGGTTGGGAAACACTGATCTATACTATCTACATTCCTCAGTGAGATTGTTTATCATTAATCTAAAACAATACGAATACATTATAATAATATTGGATTTGACTGATTTCTTGATGTCAGGTTCTGCTTCTTATTGAAATTAGTGATGAGGCGTAATGCCTAGGTTTTAAGTGCTTTTATTTGCTGGCTGATGTTACCCATATTCACAAAAGGCAGGTCTGCATGGCAACTTCACATCCACCCTTTTGTCTTTTCTTATTATCTCTGCTGTCAGCCAGCCTGGCTTCTGATTGGTTGTTTCACTAACTGGACTACCTCTCTGTTGACATTCCACTCTATGTGACTGTCTGGTCATAATGCCCCACAACATTCTTAGAACCATAACAAACACAATCTCAAAAATTTCAACAATTCTATATTTTGTATAAAATACTGGAATAATACAATCCTTCATTGTGATTTTCAGGCCAGATATCCCCAAACACAGCTGAACAAGAAAACACAGTTAAGCTTAAGTGAAACTATGAAATAGAAATTGATGTTTAGATTCATTTCTGGCTTGTTTCAAGGTTACTATATTATTTACTTTCACTTTAAAGAGGAAATTCTGGATAAATGTGTAGTATAAACCACAGAACAGGAAGTGGTAGAACTACGCTTCATGAAGCGTAATATGTGAGGAATCAACTAAAATGGTCACATTTTTACTATTATTTGTAGTTTTTCCTACTATTACTACTACAAATTTACCATTACTTTACTTCAAGAGATAAGGCACCCAGGTTGTTGGTGAGGTAAAGTCACCTTAACAATGTCCAGCTTCAAACAAAAATAAAATAGCAGAAAGCCACTCCAGCAGTGTTGAGTTTTATCAGTTTGTATAACCTGAGTAAAGGCCTTTTGTGGCAAAGTGATCACATACATACTTTTATTGTACTGTGAGTTCACTGCTATGTCAGTGACATTTGAAGAGTCTTATTTACTCACAGAAATCAGTTTTGGGTTAAGAACTAGACTGTAACCCAGCGATTAGGTCAGACTAAAAGGCAGTAGCTAGTTTAATATGTATATTATTCATAATGCCCTAATACCCTAATTCAACAAAAAAAAAAAGAAATTAATCTTAAAATATAAAATATTATATACAAAACTGGAAATTCCAAGAAATACCATCTTTTTGTTTCATTTTTTTAAAAAAAAATCATCATTACCAGTTTCATATACTGCAGCTGCAAGAATCGTCTCTCTAAAATGGAAATTCCCCAAATACACAACCTTTCTGTAGTTCCGTGTTCAGCGAGTACTGAAATTTAAAGAATTCTTTGGTTGAATTTCATTGCGAAAGTTCTCAAGAAGGAAAATGTAATATGAAGAAATAATCAGATATTAATCAATCTAAAACTAATACACATATTTACCTTTCTATAGGAATTATGCTTCATTCAGACAAGAAAAACAGCCAAATGATTAAGTATATTTCTTAAATGTAATATTCAATGTCAATTCAATTTTATTTGTATAGTGGATTTTCACATCATTACATTTTTTCAAAGTGCTTTACATTATCCCTGCCCAAAGCCCCCAGTGAGTAAGCCAGTGGTGACTGTGGCAAGGAAAACCCCCCTAGAAGGAAGAAACCTTGGGAGAAACCAGACTGAAAGGGGGAGCCCATCCTCCAGGGGCCGGCAGAGGAAGGCAAATGAGCAAGATGCCAAAATCCTAATTTACACTGTCCAAATCTTAAGATTTGAGTCTCAGTGCTGGGGGCAGGCAGGCAGAGCTGGTGCTGCTTCTGATGGCAGGATGAACAGTGAAACAGCAGCAGGGGAATAAGGAGAGACGTCACAGGGATGAGGGAGGGCATGCCGGAAAGACGCCACAGGGACAAGGGAGGGCAGGCCGGAAAGACACCACAGGGACAAGGGAGGGCAGGCCGGAAAGATGTCACAGGGACGAGGGTGGGCAGGCCAGAAAGATGTGACAGGGACAAGGGAGGGCAGGCCGGTAAGATGTCACAGGGACAAGGGAAAGCAGGCCGGAAAGATGTCACAGGGACAAGGGCGGGCAGGCCGGAAAGACGCCACAGGGACAAGGGAGGGCAGGCCGGAAAGACGCCACAGGGACAAGGGAGGGCAGGCAGGAAAGATGCCACAGGGACAAGGGAGGGCAGGCCGGAAAGATGTCACAGGGACGAGGGTGGGCAGGCCAGAAAGATATGACAGGGACAAGGGAGGGCAGGCCGGAAAGATGTCACAGGGACAAGGGAAAGCAGGCCGGAAAGATGTCACAGGGACAAGGGAGGGCAGGCCGGAAAGACGCCACAGGGACAAGGGAGGGCAGGCCGGAAAGACGCCACAGGGACAAGGGAGGGCAGGCCGGAATGACGCCACAGGTAGTGGGGGTGTCTCAGTCAGCAGGGTAGGCAGGATATCTTGATTTTTTTTTTTGGGGGGGGGGGGTGGTCTCCAGGCAGCATACCCCAGAACCAGGAGTTGTGGGGGAGATAAAATGTGCAATTAGCCAAAGTAGGGGAGACTAGAGGCAGGTCAAACAGTTAGATGAGTGGGATATATAGCCATGGCAGCATAGGGAGAGGCAGGTAGGAACACAGGCATGGGGAGACCCTGAAATGTCAGCACTCCAATTCCACAAAGGGGGTGTGAAGCAAGAGTGACAGACTGACAGTTCAGTTCATCCAAAGCCAATGGCACCGATCCCCACCCAGCTCTACACCTCACACTATAGGCCTAACTGGGAGTGAGCAGTTATCTAGAGCTAGAACTAGAATCTCTATAGGCTACACTGAACAGGCGTGATTATGTCTAGACTTGAATATTGAGAGTGAGCCTGAATCTCGCACATCTGTTGTAAGACTATTCCACAGCTGTGCAGCTCTATAACAGAACACTGTGTTTACCATAAGGCAATTTTTTGCCATCCAACACCGGATGTCTAGTAGATGGTCTTCTAACCCAGAGAGCTGTGATGCATCATACAAGGATATAACAATGAAACCCAACACCATGATTTCTAATGATGTTACTAAGTGGTAGCATATATAAAGTAAACAGTAGTGGGCCCAGTACAGCACATATTTGACTTTAGTGGGCATATAAGATTCATCGTTCACATGGACAAACTGATAACGATCAGTTAAGTAAGGTTGAAACTAAGAGAAGAGCTTTTCCCTTTAATGCCAACCACAGATTCCAGCGGGTGCAAGAGAATATTATGGTCCACAGTATTGAATCTGCAATTAGATCTAGTAACACAAAGTAAGGCTTGCAGCCATGATCAGAAGCCATAAGCTAATCATTCATTACTTTGCCTAGGGCTGCTTCTGTCGTATGGTTTGGCCTGAAGCCAGACTGATAAAATTCATTAGCATTATTTTTCTGTAGGAAGGAAGACAGCTGATGAGCAACTTTTTCCAGGATCTTTGAAATGAAAGGAAGATTTCACGCAGGTCTATAGTTTTCATGATGACTAGATCTGGTTTCTTTAGAGCAGGTCTAATAACAGCTATTTTAAAAGGTTTAGGAACATATCCAAGCCTAAGAAACGAGTTTAACAAGTCTGACAGGGTATTGCTAATCAGCGGTGCAATCTCCTTGAGGAGTTTCATATGAACTACAAGGCTAGTAGAAGATTTGCAGGAGGAAATTAAGTTGAAAAGTTTTTATTGTTTTATAGGAAACAGGTGTCATTGTCAGTATGAATGGGACAAGCAGAAGACTGGTATCTGCCAGACTTTTAATGAAGTCAACACTCCTAAGCAGGCGTGAGTGGGACCAATTTTCAGTCCAGGAGGTTTATGTTCAGTTCCAGCCCATTATGTCTTTGTTCTGGGGAAACTGTAATAAACAATATGCTGTAGTTCAAATCCCAATAAATTTATTAGACCTACTGACATTTCAAGAAGAAAATAACAAATAGCAAACTGAACTGTTTAAGCAGTCTGACTTTTTCAGCCCCACTTGGTATCTTTGCGCCGTCCATCGTTTGAGAAACTTCCAGCGATTAGCAATAGCAAGCGATTAGTTGAGGCACCTCCACAAGCGATCACACAGGTGCACTGGCCGCATATTTGCATGTTTTTCTAAATTGTAAATTGTAGTCTATTGTGTATGTGGGAAAACTCGCTGGTTAACATTCTAAAGTGTTGTTATAGAATTTTAAACATAAAATTACTGTTTCTAACCGCCTCAATTTTAAACTTGTTAAATTACTTTGTTCCTGAATGGCCCAACAGCTAAATGGCCCACCGGGAATTCTCCCGAGACTTCCGATTGGCCACTCCAGGCCCGAATTTCCCAATTGGTCACTCTGGGCCCGAGTCTCCCGATTGGCCACTCCAGGCCTGCTCTAAGCAGGGACTTGTGAATTTAACACTGAAGAATTCTTTGTTAACCTACATATGGATTCAAACAGGAAATTAGGATTGTTTTTGTTCTCTTTATTAGTCTGGGGAGGTACACAGACCTTGCAGTCACTAGTGCTTGTCTGTACCCACAGGCCCTCTTTCCAGGTGGATCTGAAAACTTCTAGTTAAGTTGAGCACCATTTGTGCTCTAGGTTACGTGAAGCCTGTTTCAGTTCATGTGTATGATCAGAGTACCACATGACAGGCTTCTTATCTCTATGCTTCATCATCTTAAGTGGAGCTACAAGATCTAGAGCAGTGTTTCTCAACCCAGTCCTCAGCGAACCCCAGCCAGTCCACGTTTTTGCTCCCTCCCAGCTCCCAGCCAATCAGGAACACCGAATAGCTGGTACAGGTGCGCTGGGAGCTGGGAGGGAGCAAAAACGTGGACTGGCTGGGGTTCGCTGAGGACTGGGTTGAGAAACACTGATCTAGAGTGTTTTGAAACGATAGATACGACTCAGTAACGTGAACCCTGGGTGACGACTCTAAGTGACTAGCAGGCGGTCGGTTATGCTGGTTAGCCTGCTGCATGGACTTGGCTCTGGTTAGTTAGCGATTGGCCTCAAGACTAAGAACTATGCTTTTGGACAGGAGGTCGGCACCAGTCCGCGTGGTTTGAATACCATTCCTCTTCAAAAGCCCAGGCCAACCCCAAAATGTCCACCAGTTGTCTATGTAACCCACACATAGATGGAAGCCTGTTTCCCAATCAGAATTCCTACAAAAACGTCTCACTGAACCGTCTGTGACTGCAGCAGCCAGTCTGAGCATTCCTTAAGACAGTCTACATACTCCACAGCAGCCAATCCCACCTTTACTTTCACAGTCTACATTCTCCACAGCAGCCAATCCCACCTTTACCTTCACAGTCTACATTCTCCACAGCAGCCAATCCCATCTTTACCTTCAGTCTACACACTCCACAGCAGCCAATCCAATCTTTACCTTCACAGTCTACACACTCCACAGCAGCCACTCTGAGCATTCCTTAAGACAGTCTACACGCTGCACAGCAGCCAATCCCATCTTTACCTTTGCAGTCTACATTCTCCACAGCAGCCAATCCCATCTTTACCTTCACAGTCTACATGCTCCACAGCAGCCAATCTGAGCATTCTTTAAGACAGTCTACACCAGGGGTGGGGAACCTGTTCCATGCGGGTATTTGGGATGACCTCTCAATCAGCCACAGTGGGTCTCCAGGACTGGACTTGAGAACCATGTTTTATTATTGGTTGATTGAGAGGCTATCCCAAAGACCCGCACCCACACCGGCTCTCCATGGAACAGGTTCCCCACCCCTGGTCTACACGTTCCACAGCAGCCAATCCCATCTTTACCGTCACAGTCTACACGCTCCACAGCAGCGTATCTTAACATTTATTCACATTGATTTTTCACACTCCACATTATTTCCTGCATTATTTTATTATATATTATTTTATTATCTCCTGCATTATATCATCTGTCTGTCCTGTGCCATCCTTCAGAGCCCCACGCAGATAGAGGTCACCCACATCTGTGAGAACCAGAAGAAGAACGTGGCGCACGGACTTGCCTGGTCCTTCTACGTGGGGTACCTCAAACTGGTACTTCCAAGTATGTTTTTACTCTTTCTAATAAATATTTGTCCTGAAATCCTAGACTGGATGAGTTGTCAGAAGACTGATGGATAAATATTCATTGTACTTTTTGCTTCCACCAAATTTTAATCATCTACTGTTTCCCATGGACACATTGACAAGATGTGTTAAACTCCCTCCGCTGAACTATAGCTAACGGGATCCATCTTTTGTCCCGGCCGAAAGTAAACACGGTTATCCAAGTGGGGGCAAACTAGAGCGTTATAAATTAATCACACTCTCGACATTAATTTGCTTGCTGCGATTCATTATTGGACAGCTTCAGAAGTTTTTTTCTCCCGGGACAGAGGTTAATTTCACTTCACCCTATAGCCACGTGACTAAAATTCCCTTCTTATTGTGCGTGTATGTGTGTGTGTGTGTGTGTGTGTGTGGTCCATTTTTTCACCCCCCACAAGAGGAAATTCAATTTCACAAAAATTTGTGACTGCAATTAAAAAACTGAAAATGCCAAAAAGTCTTGGATTTTGTGTAGTTACTTATGGTTAAGGTTAGGGCTGGGTGGGACTTAAGGGGTTAAGTTAATTGTCATTGCTCGGATTAGGGTTTTTATATATATATATATATGACGGATATATCTTAAGTGAAAGACCCAAATTATACTGAAAGTAGCTGAAAATGATCTGACCTATTCGTAGTCACATGTGATCATTTCCTTACTGAATGAACATTTACTGAATGAATATTTCTTTGCTCAGAACTACAGACTTCCATTGAGAGCTACCGCTGTCAACAAAAGAACAATATTCTGGTGCACAGAGATTCCTGGAAAATCTATATCTTGGTGCCAGTGAGTGCGTACATTCCTGACCAACTGGAAGATATGGATCAGCGCATCACGTTTTACGACAATTTGAATGAAACAACCATGGACAGGGCTGGGGTCAGAAGCAGGGTTTATAAGCACAGCATGTATGCTGTGTATGACAGCCAGAAACGGGTGAGCTAAGACAAAGCAAGAGCTCCCTTTTATATTCAAACTGATTGAAGGAAATCGCTATTATGCGAACTAGAAGAAAAGCTAGGACTTCAGAAGAAAAGCTAATGAAGTTATTCTAGTACAATAGCACCACCCTGTGGCTGAATTGGTGAACTGCTAATTGAGTTGTTTCTTTTGAATGACTGATTTAGCCTGGGGTTCATGTATGACATCATAAAGGTGCGTGTTTCTGTTCCAGCCTCACTACTGCCTGGTTGAGTACGCCACTCCACTGCAGACCCTATTTCAGATGTCCCATGACAGCAGTGCAGGATTTGGGGTGGAAGACAGGTATCAACAAGTACTTGTATTCCACCAAACCCTGAAGAACATCTTGGAGGATTCCACTGAATGTCGGAACCGTTACCAGCTCATTCTACTAGATGGTAAGTCAGGTTTAGTCCTCTGATTCATATGGTGCCTTAAATAAAGATTCATTTAGTGTCTCAAATACAGTGGAACCTCGGATTACGAGTAACGCGGTTTATGAGTGTTCCGCAAGACGAGCAAAGATTTTTAATAAATTTTGACTTGGAGACCGAGCAAGTCCTGGTTTACGAGCGCCATGCGTGCGCTTCTTGTTTTGACGCTGAGCGCACGTCATCACAACTGAACCAATGGTTATTCACTTTCTCACGCTGTGGAATTGTGGGTAATTGTCTCCCATGCTCGGTCTCAGTCGGCATGTCTCACTCGAATAGTCAAAATTTAGTAGAAAAGCACCACCTGAATAAGGGCGTAGCAGTGCAAGCGATGAATCTGTTTAACGACAATTCTTGCGAAATCGAAAAGGAGGCAAAGGAGGCTGTCATTGGATGGGTTCCTTGTTAAAGTCGCACAAGCAGAAAAAGATTCTAGTGAACCAACAGATAGCAGTGATTCCGTCAATTATAATGAAAGTCGTCCTACAAAATAACCCTCCTCTTCTCCTCTCTCGTCTCCCTCACATCATCCACGATTCTTTTCAAAGGTAAAGCGCAGGTTAATTTGTTTTATGTACAGTGGAACCTCGGATTACGAGTAACGCGGTTTACGAGTGTTCCGCAAGACGAGCAAAGATTTTTAATAAATTTTGACTTGGAAACCGAGCAAGTCCTGGTTTACGAGCACCAAGTATCATCAAAAATCATATGGCACACATGCGCTCCTTGTTTTTCTTGTTTTTACGTGCGCTCGGCTTCAAAACAGGAAGCGCATGCGTGCGCTTCTTGTTTTGACGCCGAGTGCATGTCATCACAACTGAACCAATGATTATTCACTTTCTCATTGTGGGTAATCGTCTCCCATGCTCGGTCTCAGTCGGCATGCCTCACTCGTATAGTCAAAATTTAGTAGAAAAGCACCACCTGAATAAGGGCGTAGCAGTGCAAGCGATGAATCTGTTTAACGACAATTCTTGCGAAATCGAAAAGGAGGCAAAGGAGGCTGTCATTGGATGGGTTCCTTGTTAAAGTCGCACAAACAGAAAAAGATTCTAGTGAGCCAACAGATAGCAGTGATTCCGTTAATTATAGTGAAAGTCGTCCTACAAAATAACCCTCCTCTTCTCCTCTCTCGTCTCCCTCACATCATCCACGATTCTTTTCAAAGGTAAAGCGCAGGTTAATTTGTTTTATGTATTTTTACTTTATATTTTGTATTAATAATTTTTATATGAATATTTTTGAGTTGTGGAACGGATCATATGAGTTTCCATTATTTCTAATGGGAAAATTTGCTTTGATATACGAGTACTTTGGATTACAAGCATGTTTCCGGAACGAATTATGCTTGTAAACCAAGGTACCACTGTACTATAAAATAGCAAGGATGTGTAGCAGTGATGGAGATTTGAGGAATAACAATAAGCACTGTGAGTTAAAATTCTTGGGAAATTATTGTCCTGCTCTTGGAAGTTCATGATTTCTTTCAGAAAAATGCCAACTGAGCAGTTGCAGTATTTCTACTTAATTCTTCTGAGAAAGATTACAGGGCAAATGCACAATAACAGTGAAACTGCAAATGGTTAAACAAAATGGTGAAAAGTGCTCGGGGACAGGGTACAGCCTGGATGTCAATGATCAATCTCACCCCAGTGATTCCTTACTTCCTGCAGATGGGTGTGACCAGGCCGCCAAGAAGGATCCGCACTTTTTGTCCAAGGAGATATTAAAGCATTTACAGCAGCCAGACAACGATGTTGAAAATTTGTCCAGAATTCCAACTCTCATGATTAGCGATGACGGTGACATGCCGAGGACTCTTATGAATCCCACTGAGAACACTTACCTATGTTCAGAACAATGAAAATGAAACAACTTTGGTCTCTATAGCTATAAAAACTGTAAATAAATTACTTATAATAGTGTCACACAATGGCTCAGTAGTGTGTGTGTGTGTGTGTGTGTGTGTAATTAACTTAATTCGTTCCAGAAGGCTGGTCAAGTTGCGATTTAGTCAAGTCCCAAGTCGAATTTCCCCCAAAAATAATAATGTATAAATTAATTTAATCCGTTCTAGACCCCCAAATGATTGCCTATTTAAATGTATCTATCTACCTGATGATAAAAAAAAAACATTAACAATCAATATAAAACTAATACACAGGTGGAAAAAATACACATACAAAAGCAATAAACATGAAATAAATGACAATCCCGTGTCCCGAAACGAGAGCAGACACACGTGCACGACGTTCAAGTCTCACTATAATTTCCTCTTTAAGTTCTACAGTTACTAACACTGCTTTCCTCTTTGGTTTGCTGCTATCACTGCTCACTTTCTTAGGGGCCATGATTACTGTATCACTAAATGTACTGTAGGTACAGCACAAAAGAATCACACCGAACACTGGAGGTACCGCCAGACTGAGAGCGATTTATAGGCATCAGCATCCCAGCAGGTCCGTCTGCCTTTGTTTCAGCCCATCAGAGACGCGTCTCGATCCGTACAAGTTTTAGCAGGTCTGTTTTGTTTTTGTCATGTTCCGTGTTTTCGGTCGAGTTGCGGTTAGATTTTATATATATGAGTCAATGTATGAATTTATGGTTGAATGGACTGACTGCGGGTCCCCGAAGACCAAACTGGAACTAACACTTAATTCATTTTAAGAAAAACTAAACATAACCTGAATTAATTTGAATGTGAAATGTAATGGTGTTTCAGGTACAGTTTACATACTTAAACCGATTCAGGCTTGTCCTTAGGTGTACAAAAGTGTAATTTTGCTTTGTCCAACTCTGGTACGGCATTACTGACTCTGATAACACACAATATCATTCCAGGTTAACTGAAGTGAATTTTACCACAATATTACTGAAGCTAATACTCAGAGACAGATTATATACTATATATATCATAGGAAAAAGCTTTATATCATAATAATTCAAATTTAAACCAGATTAAAAAAATGTAAGTTCCTGTTATGGCAGGAAATATATTGGCCAAGGAAATGAACTCATCCCGAGGGTGCTTGGCTCAAGACCCATAAATGGGTAAGTATTATATATAAAACAGCAAAAGAACTAAATCTGAGATATTTCCTTCATTACAATGTCCTAACAGACACTGTAGCAGACAGTTTCTCTGTCAGTTATGTGCAACAAATAATGACCTTCACAAAAAAAACAGCTGTTTCTGACACACTGACACCCAAACCAAGAGTTTAAGGTGCTGAAAATGCATTTTGATGCATCAAGTCACACGAGTTTCACATGATGCAAAGAGGCTCTAATGAAGTATTGCACTTGTGTAATCTCATATAATTCATTTTAGGTTAAATGTCAATGTATGCCTACTCATCATAGTGACATGAGCTCAAATGAGCATTTATCAGTTTCCGGGAAGATCCTGTTCTCCATAAAAACTTTTGAACATACGTTAAGTAGGATCGGTTCAGTTCTTTAGAGAAAATTCTACCTATTACTTTCAATCTGTGAGATCACCGGAATCTCCCACGGCCAGACTTTGTGGTCTTCTTGCTTTATGAGTAGTTTGGAGCGGTAATACCACACTATCGCAATAGATATGAATACATGACCCATGTACCAATTTATGGTATAACTGTATCGATATATTATATAATTGTGTCATGCGTTTAACTATTAAGGAGAGTATATTTTAGAATGGAAAGTTGAAAAAAAAATCTAATTCGTAAAGTTAAAGAAACGGCACCAGTTACGTCGTGCACAATCTGAGGGGGTGACAGATCTACAACACGCAGTACAAAAAAGGCTATGGTAATGCAAGCAGAAAAGCTGGTTGCATCAGCTATGCTGATTACCCCGAAGTCTAAACAAAGGCACTACTCCAAAGGCCGTATTTTTTCCATTTAGCTTACTCCGCCCTATTACTGCAGGCTAGAATTAAATTCCACCTTTAAAGGGACAATACCTACAAAAAATGTCGGTAATCAGTCATGGAAAGTCACTGGAAAGCCCCATTCCAGTGAAGTCTTCTTCCGGTTGGAAGCCAGCCACTCACTGCCTGAGCATGAGGGCAGAGCTAAAGTCTCACCTGACGCACGGCGTCTTGCCGGCTGTGTCACGGTGACTGGCATATGATTCACATTAAGATCGGGAAGGATATTTCGACTGTATCAATTTTCTTACAGTGAACTTTACATTTATGAATAGTATATACATATTTACAGTTTAAATTTCATCTTTCATATTTCACTTCCTAAAATAAAATATCACTGTTCAGTTCAGAAAAGGAATAGAGCAAACTTTTTATGCGCGCGCGCACACACACACGGTATAGGCCACTTAAAATTAATAAATTGTTTTACATGACTCAAACTTCTAAAATATTGGTGAGTAGGGGATTTTATATTTTTAGTGAAAAGACGATCGGCAACAAAGATATACTAAAACTAGAAAATTAAACTTTAATTTGTCAGTATCTCAACATTTTAAACTCTCAACAGTTCAAACAATTACAAGAAAAGAGAAACCTTCAAAACAAATGCCTAGTCTAAGTGTTTAATGGTCTTGCCACAGAATGGCCCAATAAAAGCGTCCTCCTGACAATAGCAAAACAACAGCACTTCCATTGTTTCAAACAATAGAAGTGCTGTTGTTTGACCTCAATGAGGGTCACTATTATTGGACCACCCTACAAGAGACTATACTTGCTCACAGTGCACAGGATATCAGGATTTGGCACATTGACGATCTCTGACAGTTTTTGAGGTGAAAAAAACGGATTTTTTGAAAAATATAAAATATAAAAAAAATCTAGGCGGCACCAAAAAATTGAGGCGGGCGGCCATGTAAAACAATTTATTAATTTTAAGTGGCCATAGACGAACGCAGGTGCATATGTTTCTTAGGATTTTTTTTTAATTCAGCAAATGATTCACATGATTACATTAATTCAGTACAATTATTTAGTATATTAATTCAGTACAATTAATTACTGTTGTTGTAGGCCTATATAATTGCTATTATTATACATATGAAACCCATAAGTCATGCAACTTTTCGTACTATTGCCTTTCCTGAAAGCTATCTTTCAAAAAGCTGACTAAATCGCCCAGAGGTATTGCCGAAATGTCGTTGCTATGGTGAGTGGAGACGCCTCGCTCGCTGCGCGCATGTTCAGAGGCAGCTGATGCAACTGCGAGCGACTACTACTTTAACGCAGCGGAGTGCGAGCTGCAGCACTTCACCGCCGGCTTAATGACGATCGAGAGCAGGATACCGATGCATAATGGTCTATACACAGGCGCTTGTCTTTGGAAACAGTATACCTATGATGTCGGAGGAGGATAATGTAGCTCATTTTATGAGGAGGTTTGTGGAGCAGTTTACGTCCAGTGCGAAAAAAGATACAGACGGACGAAGTCTTAAAGAGCGATACGAAAATAGTAAGAACTCGGGTAAGTGTGTGTAATCTGAAGTATCAGTACTCTCTACCTATTTAGAGTGACACCGTTTAAGATATTTACACTTGTCTCTAAGAAAATTTAGTGCTTTTGGTTTTGCTTTTGGGTGATTATTTCTGTAATGTAGATTTCTGACGAGACATTGTCCTGGCGCGTTTGTGTGAGAATTGTGCTTCTGTCTTACGTAAAGGCATCGTCATCACACTTCCGAATATAGGCCTATTTCTCAGAGGATAGAAGACGAGTAATGAAATCGATTACTTCTGAAATGTTTGAAAGTAACAGTAATTAGATAGGTGAGAAATGTGACTAGAATTGTAATTTGTTGCTAAGTGCGAGTGCCCCTTCCCTCGACAGGTATGGACTGGCTGAGCAGGGAGCCAGATGTGGAGCAGTCTGAAGAGAGCCGTCAGGTGGAGTTGACCAGGCGCATTGAGCTCTGCCTCTCTGATGCCAAGCTGTCCTGCCTGCACTGCCACCAGCTACAGCTGCCCCGACAGCTCACGGCACACGTCGCCCGTGACATCCTGCGTTGCTCCGCCGACGAGCCATGTGGACTGCGGGGGGCGCTCATTCAGCTGTACCTGGAGACCAAGGGGGCGCTGCAGCACGTGGGCAGCCTGACCCCGGATCGCAGCGTCACCCCCACCTTCGAGCTGTCCGTCGTGTTCAAGGCTGACGTCGAGGGCTGGCCTGCTCTGAAGCAGCTGTTCGCCACTGACAAGGCACTCCGGCTCTGTCCTGGCTACAGACTGGTCAAAAGGAAGCTCTACTCCTCTGCTAGTCCTGTCATAAGAGACTTAATTTAGAGCAACATTAATTATAAATGGAATGGTTTACGCTACAAGGACACACTAATGAGCCCCTTTGTCATGGAGGGTAGTGGGAAAGTACATTCTAAGCACCATCTTTAAGTTCTGCTGTTGTGTTGTATTTGAAATGTTATCCTAAATGGTGCAAACTGGTAATCTGGTCAATTCTGTGACAGCTCCTGGCTAGACAATGACTACAGCCTTATTCAAAGCCAAGGACCAGTCACCCTCTGGTGTTACTTGTCTTGCTGTTATGCGCAAGGTGTTGGGTATGTTAATGTTACTCTGCCAGTCACCTGATCCAGGTGTGAGCTGTCAGTTGTGCGATGCGTCACTTGGTTACTAATGCTCGAGGCCGCGGGGAGGGGGGGGCACGCCTGGACGTCACCGTTCTAGAAACAGCTGCTGTGTGTGATGTGGCATGTATTAACTTGGCCCAGGAGGGAATGGATTTGAACGTTTGGTTGTACTTTGGGTTTGGAGGGAGTTGCCTGTTTTCGGTCTCCTGGCTGATCACCTGGAGACCAAAAAGTATGAATGTCAGTGCACTTTTGGGGGTCACCCGCATTCTGTGAAACCATGGAAACCTCAATGTGAGGGCAAGCTGGTCTTCCCTCTGTATTTCAGTGTTATTTATTTCAGTATTGAATTCAGAAATAAACGTGTTTTTGAACAAAAAAAACCGTGCCCCTGCGTCACCCTGTTTTTTTTTAAATAAAACGCAGAATAAATATAATTTTTAATTATATGTAAATCCCACCCCCCAGAAATCCCCAGAAAAGTAGCTGTTACAAACAGTCACATATCAGCTTGCTGCTTATAAGTAAGGGTCAGATATACTGAAGTTTTTTTTCATTATTTAACGCTATAAAGCCAGCTGGTGGGTGTGAATCAGTCGCAGAGCCAGGAGGACAGCTGATTAGGACCGGCCATGTAAGGACACGCGCTGCATCTCGCCATTGGACAGGGGCGATGTCGCGCGGAGATGCGCCCCACTCGCTTCCTCTTCCTGTTGGACATGGGGACGAAAGATGCTTCTGCCAGCAGTTAGCGATTAGCTAACTGCATATTTCTCATAGCTGTCATACCTGGATTTTAGTAATGTATTGTTAGTCAATTATTTTACAAACTGGAAATCGCGTCATAGTCCTATTCACGTTGCCGAGGGAAGCTTTAGCTTGAATGCTAACTAGAAGGCTAAATCACAGCATCTTTCCGTTTAATATTTATATAGTAAGTAATGGTATATTATATTGGCCGAAATTAGCCGTTATGCTTTTTTAAATTCAGCAGGAAAGATTTTTTTTAGTACGGTGCATGCTATTTGTATATTTGTAATTATTCATTTGGTGTGCTGAGATGCAGCTGGAGTCCAAGGAAGGCGGATGCTGCGTATAGCCTGTAACCATTAACTTTGCTAGGTAGACAGCTAGCTATCAAGAAACGCATCAAGATGGACAAAGAGGAATCTGACAGACTGATAGAAAAGGCGAAACTGTGTCTTCGATCCGGACGGAGATCTACAGCGCTGCATTTACTGTATGAAGCTCAGAAACTGTGTCCCAGCACCCGAGCTAGAGGTAAATACACCTCACGCAATATGGGTAGAAACATGGAGAAAAATATCGAGTCTTTATTGAATCACTAATGCAGCAGTAAGGGGTGACCTCTGTTACGCATCATTTGTGCATACTAATAGGTTAACCAAGTTCATCCGGATTTATAAGAGCTATAACCATAAGCAGGAAATTGGCATGGCCTTCTGGAGAATTGTGAAGATCGGGATGACGTTTGATATCACATGATTACATCTCGATTTTCCCCTTTTCTGCAATTCCTGGTAACACTGAACAGTCTAGGATTCATTTGACTAAGCGAACACCGTTGATTGCATTTGAGATAAATGCAGACGCTTTCCCTATTACAGAAAAGGCTACGTGAGTAACAGCCTGTAAGTACGACAGATTTAACAAGGTGAAATATTTTTCAACACTGCAGCAGTACCTAGGTAACATAATATTATTGTGAAGACAATAGAAAAAAATTCTTTACTGGCTGTAACAGGAGTAGTTGATCTTAAAATATTTCTTCAGGCATCCATGGTTAAAACTCCCGTTAAGTCAACTGACGTATTTAGTTACTGAGTTATTACCGGAGAAGTGTAATGACATGCAGTCAAGAAAAATGCTGGTGTGTATGAGCATAAGTGTACAAGGCCGCAGTCATTGTGAGGGCTTGCATTATATTATGTGGCATATACAGGCAAACGGGGAATTTAGCCGCGCGTCTCACTGTCCCGCAGCCCTTATCGATACCATCGTGAGCAACGGCGGCGCGGCTGGCGACAGGAGGCACCGTGACGGCGAGAGTCACTGGCACGATCCGCGGCAGCCCTGCAAGGAGCAAAATGGGAGCAGCTGCGCAGGCGCAGATGCAAAGGGCTACGCGGAGGAGCAGCTGCAGGGGGTGCTGAGGTACGGGACCTCGCGAGGAGACCCAGACGGACCTTAATGCTTGGAGTACAACTAAAGTTGGCGGTACATAAGAGCAGGGTCAACACAGTTATACAATAATGCCATTATATGTTGGTAAATTCCTTTGTTTCACCTTTAAAGCAATGAACCAGAGTAGAGGCTCTCTCTTTAGGAGGAATGAGTTTATTTCCAGAGGATGTTCTCTGGTGCAGTAGATGTTGTATTCTCAACCTAACGTGTGATACCAGCCATTTCACAGAGTCTAAGACAACAGATCGTTTTGTCAACAATAGATCATTTTGTCAAAATGTTGACAAATTGATCACAGCTAGACAGGAGCCACGAGATAAAAGGGCAGGGACCAGAAGATAGAGATGAACGACTCTGTTCCTTGTTCATTCTTCCTTGTGGCAGCCTGACTGCTCAGTCTTTGTTAGCAGCTTTGCATTGGACACCTTACCTTTTGGTCTCCATAGGGAGGGAGGGCAGGGTGGTTTACAGGGTACAGTTACCATAATAGGAGGCTACACTACCTGGGGTTTCTGTGTTACAAAGTAATACAATAACATAATCCTACTGTATGATGTACCCTTTTGATTCTGGTCAATTCTGGATGTGTTCTGCCTTAAAACCAAATGCAACCTCATTGTTGTGCCTCATCAAACACGGTGCCTTCACTTCCAGCTCATTTGCTCCTAGTGATTTATGAAAATAATGCCGTATGGTCATGAACTCAACCTCTAACTCATTTCTTTACATAACATCCAAACGCAATTTTGCTGTGGAAAGTCCTACCAATCTTGACTTGCCAACGATGCTGTGATCTTCACAGAGTCAATGGAGGTTCTGATCCAGGTTCACAAAAGATCGTCTGGGTTTGGGATTTCCTGGATATGAGTCATGAGGTCGCTGGAAAGCGGTGTGTGGCTCCTGATATCATTGTAAGAGGGTGAAGGTCCAAGTCTTTAGAGTCCTGGTGCTCCCTGTCTTGCTGTATCGCTGTGAGACATGGATGCTATCCAGTGCCCTGAGACGAAGACTGGACTCCTTCGGTACTGTGTCTCTTCGGAGAATCCTTGGGTACCGCTGGTTTGACTTTGTGTCGATTGAGCGGTTGCTAGAGGAGTCCCAAATGAGGCACATTATCTGCATTGTGAGGGAGCGTCAGTTACAGCACTACGGCCATGTGGCGCGTTTCCCTGAGGGTGATCCGGCTCGCAGGATCCTCACTGCTGAGGACCTGAGCAGCTGGACCAGGCCAAGGGAAGCCCATGTAATTCCTGACTGTAGCAGATAGAAGGCCAATTCTGGAGGGTGGGACTGGACCACACGTAGGCCTGGGGGGTCGTCAACCAGGATCCTGAGATGTATCATCATATGGCGGGCAATGTGTAAATGGTAAAGTCTTCTCCCAACATTTCTGCATTGCAACACTCTGCAGACCATGAATCACGTAGTCAGTGAAAAGGAGAACTTGTGACCAAACCCCTATTCTTCCTCTCCAAAGAATAAAGAATTGTAAGGACTACTATGAGATTCTGGGTGTGGGAAAAGATGCCAGCGACGAGGACCTGAAGAAGGCCTACAGGAAGCTGGCCCTCCAGTTTCACCCTGACAAAAACTGTGCCCCAGGAGCAACAGATGCTTTCAAAGGTATCCCTCTCCCCCGTAAATCCCAAGTCGGAGAGCATCACGGAGGCGGTGCTAATTTCTCTCCTGCTAAAATATCCTCCCGCCGTGTGCGTTTGTCATGGCCGCTCATTGGTGATGCTAGACGCATGTGACTCAACTTCCTGTTCTTGCCGTCCCCCCACTCAAGCAATCGGGAATGCGTATGCCGTGCTGTGCAACCCAGAGAAGCGGAAACAGTACGACCAGTACGGTGAGAGGATGACTACCAAGTCCGCGGCGACCCGCACCTCCGGCCAGTCTCACCACAGCCACCGACGTAACGTCTACCGGGATTTTGAGGCAGACATATCCCCGGAAGAGCTCTTCAATATTTTTTTTGGGGGCAGATTCCCTACAGGTGCGTCCGAACAGGTGCCCGTGTGTCTGCGTGTGTTTCAGCACACAGTCATCCGGTGGTTCTAATTCCCAAACGAACGCGAAGGTGGTTTGTTCTACCCTAGGTAACATCCACGTCTACGCCAACCGCAGGGCCTCCTACGGCCATTATTACAACCCTTGGCCACGACATAGAAATGAGAGAAGGGAGGAAGAGGAGGCAGAGGAGACAGACAGTAACAACCACAGTCAGGTACACTGATAAAGCGAGTCGGCCATCTTTCACAGCCGAAACATCTGTCCCTTAAGTGCAGGATGGGCGTATTTAATCCCTATGCCCTCATGGTGGCGCTGTTGTGTTTTCCCAGAACTCCTTCACTGCCTTACTGCAGCTGCTTCCCGTGCTGGTGCTCATTCTCATCTCCGTGGTAACCCAGCTGATGCATACCAGCCCCTCCTACAGCCTCTTCTACAATCCGTAAGTCAGGCGGCGGAACAGCGGTGCAGAACCGCACGCTGCGGGCCGTGTTCCTGCTGCACCCGCACTACCGAACCAGCAGCGAGACGGAGATTTCAGATGTCCGGGAGGCACTATTAACATAATGCGGCAGAATGGAGCTGGGGTTCATCAAGATATTACCATGCCTGTAGCTAGCGCTGAGGCTCGAGCCGATCAGACGCGTTGGAGAGTGTCAGAAGTTCTGCACGCGCTCCTGTTGACCTCAGCACTCTCTTTTTCTCTGCCCCTTCAGACAGAGAACACTCCCCCGTTTTCGTTCCGTTTTGCAGAACCAAAGACAGCTGGGAACATCTGCTATGTGAATCTTTCTAAAATGGAAGCAGAGCGAAAGTTATAAAGAAATAATAAAAATAATCCGGAAGGCATCTGTAAAGCTGTGGCAAAATAAACATTCACATCTGTCGATGTGTAGGTGCGGGATGGATTAAGATCGAGCTTATTGCCCCATTTCTCCTAAAAATAAACTTTTATTTGAAACAACAGTTAGGCCTCAGGGTGTAAATGTTGATAATTCAATTTTAGTGGAGATGAAAACTGTTATGGAGGATTGGATGATGTGTCGACTCTCGGTAATAGAGACACTTTAAATTGTTAACTAAACCTGCTGTCCTTTTATCTTTGTGACACGTGTAGCCTGTTGTTATGGATACTGTCTGAGCACCAGAGCTGCGTCTGTTATAGTGGCGCTGCTGCCCGTCTCTGCCGTGTGAGACCCGTGCTCTGCTCCACCCCGCAGGTCTCTGGGCCTGGTGGTCTCCCGGGAGACGCAGCACCTGGGCGCCCCGTACTACGTGAGCCAGGGCTTCCAGAAGGAGTACAAGGGGGTCTCGCTTTGGGAGCTGGAGAAATCCATCGAGAGCAGCTATATGGAGCACCTGCAGAGCAGCTGCATGAAGGAGAAGCAGCAGAGTACGTCCCGTGCCCTTTTCACAGCCGGGGCCACCCCCCCACCACTCTTGATCCCACCCATTCTGTCGCTCCGTGGCTGCCTATTGGCTACCTGCTAGCCTTGGGGTTACATGTGGCCTTATTAAAACAGGAATCTGCCTCATCTGCTGAGCTAAGCGCAGATTACTGGAGCACGCTAAAAATGTAGTGCAGCAAGGAAATACATTCATGACCAGAGGACCTGATTGAGAACCACTAGCTTAGGCGCAGTACTCATAGGGCTGCATGTCTTAGCAGAGTAATTCAGGTTGGGTACCTTTCCAAGGTCTGAAATGGACTTGATTCGTGTCACCCTTGTGGTTACCAGCCCATGACTTTAAGCCCAACGTCAACGGCTGCACCGCGATTCCACAGGTGGCACCTGATAAGTGCAGCACCAGCAAGCGGCGGCGTTGCGATATGCGGCCGCACGACACGCGTCCGTCTGAGATTGCGGCGGGGCGGCTGCCCAGTGGGTGATAACGTGTCTTCGCTCTGCGCAGAGTCCGACTTGGCCAATCTGGGCCGTCTGTATCGCGATGAGCGGCTGAAGCAGAAGGCGGACTCCATGAAGTTGGACGACTGCGAGAAGCTGCAGCGCCTGGTGGCACGAGCGAGGGGCGAGTAAAGCGGGGGGGGGGGAGGAAACCCCCACACCCCAGCGCAGAGCTCACTCTCATCCCCGGCATTTATTTATTGTTATTTATACGTGTTTGATTTGGTCGTACTTTAGCACTTAGGATGCTGGTTTATGGTTATGTGTTCGTTTTTTGTTTATCTACATCGGGTGCCATTTGCACAGGCTTTCTGAGCTGGTGCTCTCACCTAAAGCTTCAGTGGGGTCTGAAGCACATAAGAAAATCGCTGTAAAGTGTACCGTCATTTCCTTACATTAAGGGAAGCGGTACCTCTTACACCTGTTCATGCTTATTTAGTTGCACAAACATAAGGGTATATAGGTTCTGCTATTTAGAAACGGCAGGGAGAGCAGTATTACTATGATACGCCCATTTCAGGTCAGAGCGGATGCGAGAGGTCTTGTATGAAAGGCTCGGTTTGTAGCTTTGTGTAGAAAAGGCAGAGACACGACTAGGGGTCACACGGATACATGCAGACTAAACACTAAGCTGAAATTAATCCGCATGTACGCCGGCGAAAGGCATTCTCCTCTTCCAGTGAAGCGGCGCACTCTCTCGTCTGGGGTAGGATGAGACGGCGATGACACCTGGCTGTGTGTGGCCGTGGGCCAATGACACTGCAGTCACATGACATGACGACTGAGACAGCTTTACCACGTCAGCGGTTATCTGACGGTTTTTACGAAATACTCCAGCCGTTTTCTCTTTTTCACCTGATTTTTATCTGAAGAGGCAATTTTGGTAACAGCGTTTTACAGAAGCCTCACCTCAAAGCAGCTGTGGAGGAATGAAGAGATATGTCCGACAAGTCAGTGTTAAGTTTTGCTTTGGTTGCTTTTAACTACGGCTTTAGCTACACAAGCAGAAGTCTGGTCCCTTTACTTTAAACACATTGATACTCTGTAGCCATGGTACTAATTCATTGCTTAGTGCTGTTTGAGTAAAACATCCTACCACGGAGTGTTTTGTGTCATTTTTTCCCCTCCTTTAGGCTTGGTAATCGTCTCGGCAGGTGAATCCTTTTGCATTCTCCTCACTCAGAGGAGATTTGGTGATATTTCTTTCCATTTCACATCTCTGAAGTCCCCTCGGGTCGCCTTTTCGCATTCGCATTCCGGATAATGGTGGTTTTGCACAGATGCATAAAGTGAGGTGCATTCAGGTAAAGCAGCACAGTAAGCAACAAAACCATCGGCAGCCATGTGTATAAATGACACTCAATAAAAACTGAAAACATCTGCTAAAGCAGTGAACTCATTATAGCGGTCTGGGCCTCCTTCCGCACAGAGGACTCCTGAGTCCTGGTCTGCTTGAAGTGCACCTGTACGTCCAGCACCAACGTCAAATAGATCCAGATTAAGGCCCAAAATATTAAAAGAGGACCTACAGGGATTAATGAACATAGTGAACAAAGAGCTACATTCCTCGTAACCTTAGACGCTACAGTGGCAAGAAAGTATACGAGAATACGTGAAGCCTTTGCAATTACCTGGTTTTCTGCATTAATTGGCCACAAAATGTGACCTGGGGTGTGAACCACAAAGCAAGATTTCTCGAAGGCAAACACGATCTGTTTTAACCAATGACACAAATTTTTCTTGTGCATATTGAATACATCAAACATTCACTGTATATTGGAAAAGGTGAATCCCTTAGCTAATGGTTACACTAAAACAGAATCGGCAGTCGGCCTGCATTGAAATGAGATTCCAGGTGTGGGTTTGAGTTACAACAAACCCTAAAATTTTCTGAATCACAAGAAGCATCCGAGGATTCAACCTGTGCCTCGGTTCTTCACTGGGATGATTACGTCTGTGTCACTTGGCCCTTAGTACTAGGAAAGCAGAGGTAAAGCTGTGACGATGCACAGTGGGTTCGAGTACCGTGCTGTCAGTCACTGCCGGGGTTTACCCAGTAGTACATCAGTGACCAACAGAGGATGTGAGAAGCCAAAAAAAACAAAAGCTAATCCCTGTATTGGTTTCAGATCCTTATTCTTACATATACTCATTAATCCTGACACACTGCCAATCCCCCTCCTTTGAGATCGCAGCACCCATTCCGCTTTTAAACATGAGGAAGAGTGACGCAAGTGTGCACAAACCCAAAGGCATCCCCAGGAGGGAGGTGCTTCACCTAAAGTGTCCAGGACAGAAACAAAAAGCAGTCTGCTTTTTTATTATTAAACAGTATACATTTAAAAAGTATATACACGGCTCTGTACAAATATGCTTACACGATGTCACACTGCACCTGAAGGGAAAACAACAGGACTCCACAAACTGCATTTTCACTCCTAGATTATGTCACATTCCTTCTTTATCCGAAGATACAACGGTACATTCAGAAAAATGGCAAAAGAGCGCCATAAATAAAAGCTACCAGAGACAAAGCTTGTATTTGCGATTTTGCTGGGTCATTTTGGCCAATCATCTCTCTATGTTCCACTTGTAGCCTTAGAACAAGCCACACCCCTCTCACTTCTTCATCTTGAGGTCAGCTTCAATAGCACAGCGGCGCCCCCTGGTGCTTCCGTCCTGCAGAGGTGCGAGATCAAACGAGTCAACGTCCATCGAATCCTGGGTACGTTTCCCAAAAGCACAGCTGCTAACGACGTTAACTTGCACAGTTATAACTGTGCAACTGAATGGTTCCAACTGTGCAAGTTGGTAATGGGAGATTTTTGGGAAACGTGCCCCAAAATAAAAAGCAATCCGGACACAAAAGGTGACACAGACAAACAGGAAAGTGTTTGAGGGGCTAGAGGGCGCTCAGTGTATTCAGGCAGGCAAGCACTGAGCCCCACACAGGGACAACACACACACAGCCGTGCCTGTGCCTCCCCTAAGGCCCCCTGTGTCCCACCATGTCCCTGTGCACCTGTGTCCAACCCCCCCCTCCCCCACGCCACCCCCACTTAAGCTGCCGCGCCAGCCGCCTTATCTGCAGGGACGGTGTACAGGCTAGAGCAGTGCAGAGAGGCAGAGAAAGGCAGGGTGTCACACACAAGTCCACACCGCACTGGAGCTCCGGTGGGGGGGTCGGGAAGAGATAGCCGATGTGTACGGGGAGAGCCTGGGGTTTGTCAGTCTTCCACAGCGCATCCTAACGGCCACCGCTAAACTACAGCCTACTGGCTGAGGGCACCAGTCTGCAGGGCAAAGCAGCCCGGCTAGGAAGTGAGGCGGTAAGGAAGCCCGCCGGATGGTGACGGAGCAGAACGCGGGGGTGCAGGCCCCGTACACACTGAGCTCCACATTGGTACTTACAAAGAGAGAGAGTAGGAAAGCAGGAGAAGCCATGGGGACACTGTCCTGGGAGAGGACAAAGGACAAAGTGAGAAGGGGACATTAAATAGGCAGAGAGAAACGGCGCACGCAGGCACACAAACAGCAGGGCGGCGACACACGCAGCTGAGAGGAGACACTGCAGCGAGGAGGCGGAACACGCAGCTCATGCACATGCAGCACACATGCACGCTAGACGGAGATCATCAGCGGCATGCCGGACGGACATTCAGGTGTTTTATCCGCGGGCTGAATCAGCTCATTCTGTCAGTTAAACCTGCATGCTGCTGCTCGTTAGGTTATAAGAGGGCAGACATAAGATTAAACGGCCTGAATTTAACTTAAAGCACCTACAATGGTGATTCAGCCTGAATGTGACATGGCTGCACATCACATCCTGTGAGCTTCGTCCCTGGCCAGCATCCTGACAAAGCACTCTTCACGTCGGAGGGGCTACTACTGAGCGATTTTCGCTCATTTAAAAGGAAGGTCAATCACAAGGTGATAATGTTTCGATAATAACGCTCACAGCTCCTTTTGGGGCATAACAGGTTTCTTTTTTAATCTGCTGGGCTTGAGAAGCAGTGAGAGAGCAGATGAAGATAAAATAGTTTTTCCGTTTTGGAAAGGTCGCCCCAGGCGTGACCGGGGCGGCGTAGAGTTCTGTTCAGGATGCTCAGACCTGGAGGGGAGGGGGGGGGGGGAAGGAGGTAAATAACCAAAGATGAGGGGCCTGCATGTAGAGAAGCTATGAGTGCAGGCTGTGGGAGTGAATGACTGACCCAGAGCATCTGTGCGTATTGAGTGCAGTGCCATCCTGCATGCATTTTAATGTATATATACACACACACACACACAGTGTGTGAGCTCCCAGAGGCCACACAAACCCTGGAGAGGAGTCCCAGCCTCGGGGGGGGGGGGGCTACTGTGGAGTCCTTCCAAATGAGACAGAGCACAGTAGCCGAGCTACAAAAGCCAAGTGTGTCACATCACGCGGATTTAACAAGCGCATGCGGAGGGCGGCTGCGTACACATGGAAATCGCCCCCCCTCTACAAACTCACTGGCCCCACCCCTCAGAGACAAGCTCCTCGGAGGTTCCATCACCCCACCGCCCCACCCAGGCCTCAGGGGCTACTGGGGGTGTTGGTTTCCACTCTCACCTCCAGTGTCCAAATTGTGTCAGAGTTCTTGGGGGGTGGGGGCCCTGGTGAACTGGGGTGGGCTGTGTGATGGTGAACGGTATCTTACATGCCCCCCCGCCCCCAAGATCCCCCTCAATTCGATCACTGCTTACCTCCTTAGAATTCCACAGAGGTAGTCACTGGCACAGGAAATGACCCAACTGAACAGTGACCTTAAGACCCCCCCCCCGTCGTCGCTCACCTTGTCGGAGGAGTCCTGCCGCCTCGCCGCTTCGCGCCCCCGCAGGCTCTTGGCGCTGATGCCCGACTCGGACGTCTGCATGATGAGCTGCGTGGCCAGGAACTGCTGTATCTGCTCCAGGACGTCGCGCTGCATCTCCAGCGCCATGTGGTAGACGTCGTGGTCGGAGCTGTTGTACATGACGGCGTTCTGGAACATGAGCATGATGTCGCGCTGGAACTCGGCCGTGGTACGTATGATCCCCGCCTCGATGTTCTTCTTGATCACCGATAGGTCCATGGGCCTGGGCAGCCACAGACAGGGGGGGGGATGAACTCTGCCCTTGACCCGAACGGGTCCTACCTCTGCCGATGACTGTGGGACTTACCTGTGCACGATGCTGTGGTACCCAGGAGCGATGTCGTCGGACACGGGCTGCAGGAACACGCTGGCGTATCTAATGGGAGAGATTAGAGTAACCAGTGGCCATCAGCGAAATGTATCCATCCGTGTCTCCCAGTCCGGTCCTTGGGGACCTGCAGACAGTCCAGTCCACGTCTGGCCATAACCTCCACGTCTTTTGGCCAGGCCCCCCCGGGCCATGGTCCCGCTCATGTTCTGTGACGTACTGCTAAACACTCTCATAATCTGGGCTATCTACATTATATAGACCAGTGTTTCCCAAGGAACACCGGTATACAGACTGAGAGACGCACCCCTCCTGGTGGGACATAAAGCAATTAGGTGAAAGGAAAAAACAGTGTGGAAGGTTTGAAGTGAGGGCAGAAATTTTACAAGTTAAATAGAACATTAATGTGTAAATTATGGGAACACATATCACAATAAATTAGAATTTAATTTTATTTAATAATAAATGTTCATTTGGGGTCTGTGCGTGTATATAGTTGGGGGGGGGGGGCAAGACAAAGATTAGCCCTGGGGGGGCACTGTCAAAAAAGGTTTGAATGCCGCTGGTCTACAGTCAGTCCAGAAGCTCTATACATGCCCATCTGGTGGCGACTGTTGCCATGACACCCACTGCTGCCCAGGTGCCGACCTGTGATTGGCCGCCGCCCTCCACACCAGCATGATGGCCTTCTTCCAGATCTTCTGTGCCTGCAGGGCCTCCTGGTCCTCACTGCACACGGAGCTGCTCGGGGCACGAGACGGACAGACAGGCTTCAGCGGCTGGGCGCCTCGCCTCGCCTTCACAGAGCGCCGTATCCGCCATGAACGCCACCACTCACGAGACTCACAACTGGGATGAGGCAGGGCTACTGGGCACCGAGTCGGCCGTGGTGTAGCGGTGCAGCGAGGAGGCGTTCAGGCTGTACCCGTCCTCGCTCTCGCTGGCGACTGGCTCCAGCTCTGACAGGTAGGCCCCCTCGCCCTCCCCGTCGCCGCCGTCATGCTCGCCGCGCTCCTTCAGCTCTGACACGCTGCCCTCTTCGCCGTCGCTGCCGGCCTCCTCCTCCTTCACCTCCTGCTACGAGAGGGAGGCAAAGCCAGACAAAGGAGGAGCGGTTGATATCAAACACGCAGGCCTGCTCCGCGGCTTCCCGGCTCTTAGAGGGAGCCTGCGGAGGATGCAGGGCAGGGAAGGGGGTGAGGCACCGGGCGGTGGTGGGTGGGGGGGGGGTTACCTTGCACTCCTTGCCAGACCCTGAGCTGTCTTCACACCCTGAGAGACATAAAACAGAAAAGTAAACCGGCGACAGCAGAGGGGGGTCTTGAAGACAAACATTTTGGTCTTGCTGATACCCACCTATGCAGGGGGCCTCTGCCTCTGCCGGAAGCCACTCCTCTGCCTCACACTTAATGGAAGGGCTCGGGGTGGCCCGCTCCTGCCCCCCATCCTCCTCGGCCACGGGTACAGCCTCCTGCTCCTCGGGCTGGGCCCCCCGGGCCACGTCCTGCCCACTAGCGGAGACCTGGCTCTGTGTGCACTCACGGCTGGTGGGCGGAGAGGGGGGCGCGGACACCAGCACAGGGTGAGGCGGGGAGTCAGGAACGGAGTCTTCCATCGGCACGTCCTCCAGGAGCCCCGGCTCGGCTTCTGGCTCCGCCTCCACACCCCTGTGCACCGGCGAGGGCTCCGCAGGCGGGGCAGCAGGGCTTTGGGGGGCGCTGTGGGTCGACTCGATTGGCTTGAAGGCCCCTGGCTCCCAGGGGCCCGACAGCGTGTGGCCCCCACTGGCCTCTTCACACAGGCAGAGGGCTGCCTCAACCGCAGCGTCGTCAAGCACCTCAGAGGAGTCGTCCACCTGGGGGGGGGCACACGTTTATCATCATCATCATCATCATCATCATCATCACCATCGTCTTCATCGTCCTTGTTGTCGAGGACGGAGGAGGAAGAGCCCTCATTCCATGGATTCACCTTCTCTTCGATAATGGCAATGATGTCCCCCACTGTCTCCAGGTCCAGTTCCTCCCCCATGTAGGAGACAGCCACCAGATCCTCCTCAGCGAGCTCCACCTTCTCCTCCTCTGGCAGGAGGCTCTCGGGGACTCCCACCTCCATGGCCCCGTTCACTACTGTGCACACTGAAGTTAAGCCAGGCAAATGATAGAGATGCCCAAGCAACACTTCATGAACCATTTGCTGTATTTTTCGACCCCACTAGGTGGCGCCCTTCATTTGCTTTGAGCCCTTTTTTTTTTTACAGAGAGCACCATCTATTGGGGTCAGGAAATACAGCAAAAGGTTCATGTTAAGTTCATCTCTGCAGACTGCTATCGCGTGGGGGAAGGTACCTGTGTCAAGTACAGCTGGGTTTTCAGGTGTAGGGGTCTCTGTGTCAGAAGGGCCAGCGCCAGGGACTTCTGTGACAGCCACCAAGTCTGGGGTGACAGCAGGGGAGCGGGGGGGAGGACCGGCCTCCAGCAGATGGGACAGCATGGGAGCGCCTGGGGACGACCAAGCCAGAGCTCACTGCTAACAGGCGGCACGATACCCACTGCAGCCGCAGGAGCATAAACAACCCGGATTCCCTGCAGGGGAGCTTAACTGCGATAGGGCAGACCGGGAGCCAGTGACCTGCAGGGGAGCTTGTGGGAGGTGCTTATCTGCAGCCAATGGCTGAGCATGACAGAGACGTGTCACTCTAAAATCGCATGATTAGCGCCTGGCAGGTGCCGCCTGTCAGATTCAGGCCGGGGCAGCTGTAGCGGCGGCCCAGCCAAAGCTGCCTGTGCTAACTGTCAGATCCTTAACTTCCAGCAGATGTTTGCAGAAAGAAAAGCGTCAGTGAGTGACGTGAGCGTCTTACCGGCTGAGGCTTGTGGCACCGGCACGACGGACGCTACAAACTGAGGATCGGACCTCTGCGCTCCGTTAGCCAGACCCTGGGCTGCTTCTCCTTCTGCCACCTGGGTGATCAGCCCCCAACCATTTCAGTGATAGAGCTCAAGTGCAGACAGGTGTCCAGCATCTCCCCTCTCTATAATGACCGCGCCCCCATTTCCGAGCCCCCTCCCCCACTGCGAGACTCCTCCCCCTTTCCATACCAGGCGGGCGCTGGCAGAGAGTAGGCTGCCCTTCTTCAGGAGCTCCGACAGCAGAGGGGAGGGTGGGGGTGTGGCCTTCTGAGGGATGAGTTTCTTCTGTGGGGAGTCTTCTGTTACGCCCCCCAGACTGGCATCCGTGTTCCCTGGCCCTGCTACTTCAAGCAGCGGTGCAAAGACAGCTGCCCCAGGGCCCTAGAGGGAGTGGCAGGGGGGGAGAGGGGGAGAGAGAGAGAGAGAGAGAGAGCAACAGGTGAAAGGAAGGTCACTTCCATTATCATTAAGTGCTGAGTGGAGAATGAAAATGGCAGATTTAATTTAAATATGTCAGTATTCCACTAGTTCATATTTAAAGCTGTTATAAAATATTCAAACATGGTTTTATTTCTAATACTTTTGAAATGGAATTATTTACATCTGCTTGGACTGATTTTTAAGACAAGCATGGGAGCCTGGACAACACATAGCAGTTATCTGTCATGCTGCACAGAAAATGCATTTAATAATGAATAAATAAGCTGGGGTGATGCGGGGGGGCAATGTGCGGCAGAGACTCACACTGGGTGCGCTGCTGGCTTCCTCGGCGATGGGCTGCACCGGGTCCGCTGGTGGACACTCGACACCCAGGGAGCGTACTGTTAAACTGGGGGCTCGCTTAGGGGTGTTTTTCACTGCCTGCCGGACTGGGAAAGTGAAGGTGGGGGTGGCGAAGATCATGTTATAAAAGAACCCAAAGCCTCGTAACGTCCTTTTAAAAGGGCTGATAAAGGGGGAAAATATGCACCTACCCTGATAAGCAGCATCTGTGGCCTTCCTCTTCAGCTCAGCCTCTTCCTCATCCTGCTTCCTCTTCCTGCCAAAGAAATCAAAAAGACAATAAACCTCCACCATACACACACGCACACACACACACACACAGATAACTCAAGGTAGCACAACATCAGCCGATGTCAGATGTGTGCTTCAAACCAACAGCCACACAGACTGAAACAAGCAGATGGTTTAATGCATCTTACTGCACAATCTCGCCCCAGAGCTCCTCAAGCTTGGCGTCCAGATGTCCGGCCTGGATTATCTCTGCTTCCTTCTTCAGCTTCCTGTATATGTGGGGTAACATGGTCTATGCTCTCACAATTGATTAGTGATAAAGCCACATGACTGTCTTTATTCTCCACATCCAATCCTCCAAGAAGCACTTGAAAAGCCCCAGGACAGTACATTCCGTAATCAAAAAGAAGAAATTAAAATGCTACACACAGTATTTTGGCCACAGTTGGCAGATCTCATTCTTTTCTCACTTAAATATACGGTTAACTACTCATCGTCAAACAGATGTCCTTCATTCCAGTTCTCAAAAGAAAACTACACTTTGCTTTTGAAAGTACCAAGGGAATGTCCTGCTGATGTACCAGAGACGTTTAAATTTTTTGTGTGGCTTTAAGTGACCGCCCCCACAGAGGGGGAGGAGCCAGATCACCAGCTCTGTACCTGTATCTCTCCTGTGTGTCCTTCAGGAGTCTTTTCAGCTCCTCGATCCTCTCCGCTGTCAGCCGACGCACAATCACGTCTTCCACCGTCTCCACCACCTCTCCCTTCTCCCCGCGTTTCCGCCTAACGTCAACCACCACAGAAAGAGCATCACTGCTGGCTCCTGCTCCCCAACATAACATGGAGCCACGGCGTCGGCTGCACTGCGTCCTACTTGCTACTTCCCCATCACAGACGAGGAGGTCTGGACACAATGTGACAAACACAGCTCCCCAGACATGCATTCACCCTCTTTCTCACCTCACACGCTCCAAAGCCATGAAAAAGGACCACCTCTACTCACTTTGGTGCCTCTGTCGTCTCCAGCAGCTCAGAATACTGGGAGGCACAGTGCTGAGGGAGTCAGAGAAGGGTTAGTCATTGTACAGTCATGACATATGTCATAGCACTCATATGTGCAGTAGAATGTTATGCCAGTGGCTTCTGAGTTTGTACCTTCTGGGAGAACCAGTCAGGTGGTCTTCCTGGTTCTGAAAAAGGCTTGATGGCTCTGCTGACAGACACCCTATGGAAGAAAACAGGGAAGACTGCACTTCAACAACAGTCTAAATAAAACATCCAGAGAGCCTATCGAAAAGCAAAGGACTGAAATATTCAGACAAATACAGATGGGATGCTGAACAAGTTTAAAAAAAAAAAGTGAACTGTGGTTCTGTATGATATGAACACAGAATGCTGCCATGTCATTTACCAGTTCTGGTCTCCGCTCCTCATGACAGAGGATGCTAAGCACAGCTTCTCTCGCACAGACCATGGCTCTGTCGGACCCACTGCTAACAATTTGTGCTCTGCAGAAATAAAACCAAATACAAACACGCTATAAAGATGGCGAAAACTAGGGAGGGAAGGCAATAAAGAGAGTAACAAGCAGTAGGTAACGAATATGTGTTAGGTAAGAACATACAGCAAATAACCTGAAAATTATTTAGAATATGCTCAAGAAATTGATATAATTCGAAAAATCTGGGGGCAAAAATAGTGGCACCTGAACTTAAGAAACGACTATGTAGGAGTTCAGATGCAGCTAGATATGCAAATGTTGTATTTTTAACCAACAGTAGCACGCTAATAATTAAATTGTTTTAGTGTATTAGCAGTACAATAGAGCTAACAAGCTAGCTAGTTAGCCAACCACTACAAGTATTGTCTATGCTTTTACCTTTGATTGTTTTTATTAGCTATAAAATGGGATTCCGTAACTAAAAAGCAAGTGAATAGCATGGTGAATATAATATAATATTAATTTAATTCGTATTCGGTTGCCTTTTTATTTAAAATAAGATGAATGCATGAATGTAATTTAGCCGAATTAGGATGTTACTCACTTCCCACTCCGCTCGCCATTTTGTTTTGAATGAACTGACTTCCGATGACCTGCTTATGCACTTCCGGTACCCGGTATAGTTCTGGAAGCTAGACATCCGTCGAGAGAAGACTTGCGTAAGACGGGGGATTAGCTCAAATGGTAGAGCGCTCGCTTAGCATGCGAGAGGTAGCGGGATCGATGCCCGCATCCTCCACAGATAATTTTCGCGCATACTGCTGTTGTTTTTCTTACTGCAAAAGTCAATGAAATAGCATTTTGCTTCCATCACTTACCAATCAGCTCACAGTCCATATTCCGTTTCTCACCGTGCCAGCAAACTTTCTAGATGACTTACTGTTTCGATGTGATTATCTGGATAATGATCTTTAATTTATGTGATTTGGCTATCCTAACTAATATTACTGATTATTGATATTTATAATCAACCGACTATTCCCCTGGATCGATGCCCACATCCTCCAAAGTTTATTTTCTTGGAAACTACTTTAAACTGTTGATGTATTTGTATGTCGTGCACCTTTCTGAAATATAGAATATGGAACACATTTTACACATTAATTATTGTCTGATTAATTGGTAGATATTAATTTAAGCAAGAAACATTAAAACACATTACAAACTACTATATATATAAATGAATTAAATTCACATAATACTATATATACACAGTGTACTATAGTAAAAATCTATTTTTACTAGACTCGAATGTAGGTCGCAAGCAAAATAAACTGGGGACTAGGAGATATGCGAGTGTATTTTCACTATTAGCCACATAATAATGCGCTTTTCATGAGCGACACAAACAAATTCTCTACACTCCACGCCTAAATCCCTAACCCCTGATTTGAGCAATCAAACACAGTGCCATGTATTTTGAAATCTGCGCTACCGGTATAGAGTGGGTGAACATACCATTACAATTCCTTAATGTTAATTGGTGTCTGATCGTTTTCCATACATTCCATTCATCGGCATTAAAATGAAAAAAAAGAAAGATAATCTCTTTCCACCTTCAGTTACGGTTTAACAAAAGCCACAGGAAAACCCGCTGCTTCATTGAGGGGACAATTATAGCATATAGGAGAGCCGCTGTGTGCCTGAGAAATAGAACCACTCCACACAAAGAGACAGTAACACCACTGTCAGTCGTGCGGTCCTTCACAATCTGACCATAAAAAGGTCTAATAGAGGGGAATCTTTTGTAGATTTCTGCACTAACGTAGGGCTGCGGTAAAGGGGAGTTTATCATAATACTTACCACATAAATATGGTTGAAGTGTTAAACAGGCAATTAATAAAATCTGATTTGGGGACTCAAAATCTATATAAAATCTAGCTATTTCTTCTAAATCCGCAGTTCAACCCTGCAGAGCATGTTCAAGGTAAACCGCAAAAATGTCTCCCCTAGTGGCCTTTGGGAGATTTCTAAAGGGACACAGCAACTGGATTTAACTAAGGTAGGAAACTACATGACACATGCCTTGTTTTGCGTTCTAAACTGCAGCCAAGTCAATAACGGACCAATTGGCCCTGTATTACTGTGGATACGAATGAAGGCTTATAAAACATTACTGAAACAGGCTTGGTATTGTCCACTATTCAACTATGAAGTCCAAAATGTTATGACAGGACTGCTGACTTCACAACATTCAATGCGCATAGAGTTGACTATTAGTTAGGCATTCAAATAAAAAAATCTAAACGATTTCAACCTTTTTTCAGAAAAAAATAAATAGAAATCGATCACATGAAAATTGTACGTAGGGTATCAGAATGCGCATTTTTAGCCTTAGTTATTTTAACAATGTCATTCATTACAATAATATATACTTTAATGATATTTAAAGGTACGACTACTCTAGATTTAATCAATTAAAAAGTTATCAATTTGAATTATGTAAAACAGGTTTTCGAATGGCAAAAAACGGTATATACGACAGAACAGGGAACTATTTTTAAAAAATAGAATACGCCTTAGGAATACGGACTACGATTAAATTTATGAAAACACGCTCCTATTAATTAACTCGGGACCTTTTGTCACTATTGTAACGACATAGTAAGTACTCTAATTAAACAAATAACACGCCAGGTAAACGTTTTGCAGAGCAGCAACCCCGGTCTTCTGCCCATAAAGCTCATCATATGCGCGCCCATATACGCCTATGTGTCTAAGCGAGAACGTGAAACGGCTCAGTTCAACGAAGTATGTAAGTGACTCGCTTCCGCTTCGAGCCTCGCCATTGGACAATGGCGCTCACCTTACACGGTGATTGGTCTCGCCGCCGGCGCGCGATGTTTGAATTGGTTGGGCGTCCGAAGGCCAATAGGGAGCCCGCTGGGGTCGCGCACTTCATTTTGCAGGATTTGCTGCATGTTTGTACTGAGAGCAAGGCTGTGTGAAAAATACACGTAGCGGGGGATATACATAATAACAGTGCTCCAAATAATATTTCGTTGTTTTTTTTTTTTTCATTTTCTTTTATCGAATAAAACCACTTCAATAAGTGGTGAATGCCCCGAGGAGAGATTTTAACTGTACATCACTTGGTGCGATTATATTAAATTCAACAGAGAAAGTGAGTATCGACTGCTTCATAGAGCCAAAGTTACTTTATGTTGTTGCAGTATTGTTTTATTATTTAAAGGACGGTAAATATTTGTTGTGATTAGTTGTAACTGTCTGGCTAGAAATGTTTTAATGTCTTTGTTTTGTTTGGGGATGCCAATAACCAACGACAGTAGATAAGTTTTGTCGCTGACATTCTGCTGATGTGGTTTTTCTTTTTTTAACTCGTTGATAGTTTACCTCGACTAGCCCAACAAACTTGTTCTAAGTTCTTGTAAATCAGGTTTTGCTATGATGGCGATCAGTTGCATTGGTAGCCACGTTGACGCCTTTTCGCTGGGTATGAGGGAGTGTTCATAGCCTAATCAAGGTGCATTTCAAACTGTTCTGTCGCCTACGTTTCATACGGATGCATTGGCCATAAACGCGCGACCACGTGTTTTCTTAGTACTGCGGTGTATGGCTCTCTGTGGACGGGTCCAACCCCGTGGCAGACCTACTGATCATGTCATTGTCAAAGAAGAAAAACTGATACAGGAAAAAATGGCTCACGCTGCATACTGACCCAAGCTTCGCTCTCCATTATCATATCATCATACTTAACTACCGGATAGTTTAATCAGGCGGAACCGATGCCGATTATGGTATGGTGACAAGACAGTCTATGTCGGAATGGACACTTTGAGCTACTTCAGGTTTAACAAACTACTTTAAAAGACTTTTCTTGGCTAAATAGGTTCTTGTGCTTTGGCTGGTTTGTTTCCTTTATTGAAAGACCCATCCCAATGTTTCATATTAACGTTAGTGACACATGCTTGCTTATAGAAGACTGATCAATCAGCACACAGTGTCCTTCCTGACATTGGTTATCTTGTCGTCCTAGATTAAAGTGAAACATGGCGACTGGTTATCATTGGATATTCCTCCTAAAATGTTTAAGGTGGCGAGGGGGCAGTGGTGTATCTGCAGACACCTTCCACACTCACAAAATTTAAGTTGTTTTTATTTCCCCAAGAGCACCAGTTCATTTATAATTAATTTAAAATCAAATGCGTGCTTGATTACAATTCTAAATGTGGATGTGCAGTTGGTGATAATTGCCTTTTGAATTAAAGGTATAGTTGATCATTAATGTGTGACTACACGTTGATCCTCCTTCCTCTTTGCTTGGAGTGTGTTCAGAGGCTGTCATTTTACTTGAGTTTTGTTTGCTATTCATTTAGAAGGGCAATACAACTGGGAACACGTTCCTGATGTCTTCCATATCCCCGACTGTTGACTTTAGGCGGTTGCCATGGCAGCACATTTGGCATCTCTCCGTGGTCTGCTTTCGGATGAGGAGGAGGGCGGTGCCGCAGTGTTCGAGTCCACGGCCGCGGACATTGGAGGCTTCCCGGGGCGCTGCGGCGCTGCTTTGCCCGAGGTCTCGCTCATCTTCTCTGGTCCAGAAACTCGCAAAACGGAAGCTGAGGTATAAACCCAGGGATCCTCCAGGCCAGACGGGAGTTCCGGGTGTTTCGGTGGGAAATAGCCTGTTACAGCTGTCTCCCAGGCTCCATGTTACTGTGCCTTGCTGCTGACTGTGTTCAGCTTCAACCTTCCACTTTAGCTGTATTTATAATCTAAAAAGGCATCACAAAACCAATTTGTCTAATTGAATGGCCCGACTCTGACTTTCCTCCCTCTCTTTTGGAGCTTGAGGCAGTCCTGGGGTTTATTTGTGTAAACCTCTCCAATTCATCACACCGCCAGCAGCGCTGACCTCACAATAAATCCCTTTATTTCACACATCGATTTATGCTCTCATTTTTCTCAAACCGTTTCATACAAAAAAAACCCAACATCTTAAATATTTTGATTCCTTTAGGATAACTTCGTCCATAATCCAATTTCATGTCCGATGTTGCTGTCCCTGCCAAACTCTTTAAAAGTGTCAGAAAATGGCGTCCTTAAGTCCAGTGTCCCTCGTGTGCTTCTGGTGGAGCAGGTGAAGTTGGGAGCCGGCCGACAAGAGATCGTGGAAGGTGACAGAAGCTCAGAGAAGGTCAAGGTGTACCTGCGTATTCGCCCGCTCGCCGAGGGGGAGAAAGCCCGGGGAGAGGACCAGGTAACCCACCCACCCGCCTGCGAGATTCAAGATGCTTCCTACTGCCACAACAAATCATAACTGACATAATAAACACAGCACTCCCTTGTGCAAATTAATTGGAACAAGTTGTCACGCAGACATCCATGCAGTGACCTGGGACCTGCTGGTTTGCACAGCCAACAGGGTCGAGAGGACACTGAGTGGATGGACAGAGGAGGCACTGTGCCCACAGACTGGCAGGCCTGCTCGGGTGGGGCTAGGGCTGGGTGGATGGACAGAGGAGGCACTGTGCCCACAGACTGGCAGGCCTGCTCGGGTGGGGTTAGGGCTGGGTGGATGGACAGAGGATGCACTGTGCCCACAGACTGGCAGGCCTGCTTGGGTGGGGTTAGGGCTGGGTGGATGGACAGAGGATGCACTGTGCCCACAGACTGGCAGGCCTGCTTGGGTGGGGTTAGGGCTGG